GGGATTAAATTGGTTTGTAATATTTGCAAAATATTCAAATCCATTTTTACATTCTTTTGCGCGATTTATTTTATCTTAAATATTTATAGCTTTCATAAATAGTAAAGAGAATAAATTTTACACATAATAAACAGATGTTAACTCCGTACAATGAATGCCATCGAATTGAATAATATCAGAATCATTAGAGCTTGATTCTTTTGTTTGGTTAATAATAACAAAGAAAAAGTTAATATCTGGTAAAGTGTTCACGCATAAATTTACCGATTGTTTATGTATGCACGTAATGAATCATGATTTGTATCAATGAGTATGTAGATAAAGTTTCATTTAGCACTTAATTCGCGGCGTGGGAACTATACGAAAAAGGTTAAAACAAGCGGAAATAAAGCACTAACCATATACAGTCGCTACATTGTTTTCTATTTACAGCATTGTGTCTCGGGACGACAAAGAATACATCATCAGAATTATTGTTAACTTCATGACCAACAACGAAAAAATTTGTGTGCATATTTACGTTCATTCAGTACCAGTTCTCAGACTTCGTGGGCGTTTAATTTTTTTTGTGGTCATATTTTCCCCCATCGTAAGACTACATGAATAAACCCCAACATTATGTATTTGTTACCGAAACATGCGTTTGTCCACAATGCTCAAAAAAATTTAACTACGTATCTATATATAATATAAATATATATTCTATATTTTTACATATAAACATCGGGGTATTTTTGTCTTCATTATTATTCTTTTTACCGAGTGTCTTTTTCTTATAATTTTACACATATAAGCATATACCCAATAATAAGAATAAAAATGCCAGATTGGAAAAATCTTTTAGGCATTGACAAAAAGCACGAAAAAAAACCGAATAAAGATACTTTCGATAATATTACTCACGAAAATACACCACCTCCTAAAAAGACCAATAATAACAATGAAGGTGGTAACCTTGGTAAGTTTTAATCATCAATTTAATCAATTCAAAAGTGTGAAAAATTTTGAAATTCATAATACCAAACTTCACTCTTCGTGATAATAGTGACCGTAGTGAAAACGATAACAACAACAGATGCAAATGGAAACAAGACTACAAAAACAATCACTTATACGACAACAGAACCAGTTGATTCGTTTGAACCCGAGACGATTACATTCGAACATCCACCTTTGGAAGATGGTGTTTCAATTGAAAATTTACTCGATCAAGAACTCAAACATCATCCTCATAATGAAGATGATAAAGAAAATATTTTACCCGTTGTTGAAACTCATCCGAAACACCATAATCATGAAGAGAAATCGTCAGCACCAACAACAAATAACCACAAGCATGAACATAAACTGATTCCTCTCACTAATATTTTTTCACATTCTCGCGCTGACGATGATGATGATGATGATGATGATGATCCTATGAGGTATTAAATTGAAACTTGATTGAATAAATATTATTAAAAACAATAAATCAACTATTAATACTTGCAGCAAAATTTCACAAATCGTGACAAAGGATTTTGTGGAACATTATAACGCAGCTGGTATATTTCATGCATTTATTTACAATCACCTAACATCAGATCATTCTTGCATATGAATTTCCAATTATAAATTATAACAAATGTTATAAATAATATTGTAATAGAGCATGACTATTCAAAAGTTGATCACCATGCACGAACTACTCCAAGCTCAAAAACGAAGGACGTTCCGACATTATCTCATCATCTCACTTCACCATTTAAAGAAACAGATGAGAAATTACGTGCTATATTCACTTGGATCGCTGAAAATATTGTTTATGATGTCGATGCATTATTCTCTGGTAAAGATGATGATGATTCCTTATGAAGAAACGATTAATCGAATTGATACCTAACTGAATCACTTTTTGTTCTTAAAAAATATAGGAAATATTCATCACATGGACGCAACCCAAGTATTACATAAACGACTGGCGGTATGTGATGGTTACAGTGAACTCTATATGGCTCTAGCAAAAGA